AAGAAGAAGAAGAAGAAAATGCATGGGGTGGAATAGCAAGGTCACATGAATTTTCCCAGTAATTTTGACCTGTTTCTTAATGACAACAAATCAATTTCAAACACCAGTGATCAGAAGATAAGTTTGGACTGCTCTAGCTCTGAGTATATTACAGTGTGGATGGCAATTGCTGAAGTAGAGAAGATGGAGGAGCTGCATTTGCCATATGCACCAAGCTTGCAAAGATGCGTTAATGCCTTTGTTGATTGAATTTTTGTTTGGGGGCTTGCATTTTAATGTTAATTGTATTAAATTAAGCAGTGTGTGTTTAAAGAATTAAATAATTGATAAAGGAGGTATTTCATCAGTTAAAAAATCATAACTTACAATATAACATTAGTACTTCAGCTGCACACCTAACAAATAAATCCTCATTAAAAATAATTTGAAGTCCAATTTTTTTTGGTCCTGAGCACTCTGAATTTCTGGTCTAGAAAACTGAGATTAACAGCTGTGGGGATCCATTGCGTTTACCACGCAACACCCTCTATCCGCTGAAGTTGGCACAAACTTTTCCAACAAGCATCGGTTGGTCAGTCAGTGTAGTTCGCTTGCAGACTACAGGCCACGGATTTTTTTTTGAGCACTCTTAATTAATGAAGTTTTACCTTAGTGTATTGCTGCAATTCTGTGTTTTGTTGGGTGGCATAATGAGTTGTGTAATACAGTGTTCAGTGATGTGTTTGTATGTGCTGAATTGTAAGTTGTGCTTCATCATGTGTATTAAGATATCCAAAAGTTATATTCTGTTGTTTGATTTTTCTTCTCTTGTGAACATTACAAGAAGATACTATAGTGTTCATTTTGCGTAATGTGTGGTTGAATGAATGAATGAATGAATGAATGTATAAGGGGTCGGGCGTTTTGGCCCTTGCACCAGGACCACAGTGATCTGTTGTGCCTCCCCTTCTGATTATCCCCTCAAAAATCATGTGCTTCGAATGAAGCATAGGATTTTGTACGTGGGGACATTGAAATAGTCACTTGGTTCCATAAAATACTGACCCAAGTGACGCAATTTTAAATAAGCTAAGGCCTCACATTCGCACAGGATATGTGTGGCTGTTTCATTTTCTTTCTGACACCTCTCACAAGTTTCGGTCTTTTCTTGAGGAATGTGATTCCGAGATTATTGACCTGACATGTTATACTGCAGTTCAATGGCTTAGCTGTGGAAAGGTTCTTTTGCACTTCTTTCAGCTCAGGAATGAAACTGATATATTTCTTACCAAGAAAAACCATCACAAAACACTTTTATTAGATACCGAGTGGCTTTGGAAATTAGCATTTTTTGCTGATCTGGTGAACCATATGAACCATTTGAATTTAAAGTTTCAGGGTGAAAATAACTTAGTCTGTGATTTATTTGCACTTGTCAAGGCATTCAGAGCAAAGTTGATACTTCTGGAAAGCCAAGTGAAAAATTGTAACTTTGTTCATATGCTATACTGTGCAGAGTTGCATAAAAAGGGTGAAGCAGAATTTCCTTTCTCGTTTGCAAATTTAGTCATTTCAGATTTGAAAGAACAATTTTGGAATCAATATGCTGATTTGGATGCCAGTGCTCAGGAAATTAGAGTGTTTCAAAATCTGTTTGACTGTGATGCTGCAGATGTCCCAAGTCAAATTCCAATGGAAATTATTGAACTTCAGGAAAATTATCATATTAAAGACAAATACAAGGAAGGAAATTTGACCGAATTTGATAAATTTCTGAACTCTGAGAAATTTCCAAATTTAAAGAAATTTGCTTGTAAATTTATCTCCATTTTTGGGATGACATATCTGTGTGATCAAACTTTTTCCCAGATGAAGTAGATCAAGTCGAAATACAGGGCAAATTTATCCGACGACCACTCAAAGTCGCTACTTGTGATTAGTGTTTCAAAATTTGAACCTCAATTTAATCAGATTTTAAGAATGCAAAAAGAGTTCCATCATTCACATTAATTGTTTTACTATAATTTGTGATGAAAATATGAGCATTTGCTGCTACTGTCTGTTGTCATTAATATACGATAATTTATTCTCNTTTTTCGCTAGACGGAGTCCACCTACTCCAGAGACTAGGTATCCCAGTCCTCCTACTGGAGGTATGCTAGAGGTACTAGCCCCCTGTAGTGGTATGTCAGCACTACTGACTCCCAATAGAGGTTTTGGTTTTTACCTGAGGTAGGTTCCAAAACACTGGTTCGTCCCTTCCTTTGGCTTAAAATTCAACAGCAGGTTTGATGGCTGCACCTGGGTCCCTTAGTGGTTCACCAGAGCCTACAGTCCCCTGCTGAAGCATTTCTCATATGGATCTCCTTGGAGGGAGGTCCCTCTTCAATTTAAGGTCCTTAAGACCGTTTTTTTTTGTCCCATGAGTTTTGGGGATTTAAAAGGTCCCCACCCGCAGCGCCCCATATGGGTGGAAGGCATAAATACAATGGGCTGCTGCCTGGTGCCCTGAGGGGATCATTCAAGACACTGGCTAATTACCACCCCAGTACCATGCAGCCCTCAGCACGATGCCTCACACCTTGGCTTAGGTGGTCTGGTCCTGTAGTGAATGCAGCCCTCACAAGCCTCCAGGACCAAGAGTGCCTGTTCGGGGGGAGAGGGTTACCCCAGATGATAAATGGGAGTGCGACACCAGTTAGTTTTCAGATTTGTCAAACCACTTCTGTACTGATGCTCGCTAAGGTGGATCTGTGCAAAGCCATTTTCTGAAGGCCCATTCAACACTGGTGCAAGAATTTGTTTCACATACTCACTCGTGCAAAACTCTTCTCCATGGGAGACATCATTTCTGAAAATTGCGGAGCCTGGCGGTAAAAATAGGTAATATGGAGATATACCACAAGTTTTGAAATCTCTGAGAAATTGACTTTCCACTGATGCTGCTTATATGTGGGTATGCTTTTTAGTTCGTTGTATTTTATCCCCAAAAGTGTATCAATTATTTATGGACACTCTTTATAACTTGAAAGTTATAGACATAGCCCAGAATGTAAACATTGACCAGTGCAACAGGTATGAGTAGCCTGATATTGGCCAGACAGGCTGAAACATGTCCTGTAATAAGGCAGATGGATGTATGTGTGCTTAATGGAAACTTGCATACGCTCTTGCAGCCATTTTTATTATTGACCATACAGAGCACAGAGGCATTGTAAAAACCCATCATAAATTCAAAAGATTATGTGATATATAGCATTTCAGCCCTCTTTACAAGAAGAATTGAAGGGTACTGTCTCTTCAGGGTTGGGTTATCTTCTGTTATAGATTGTTATGGAAAACCACAGCTCTTGTCAGAATACTTTACAAGCTTTCTATGGATTTAGGCATGGGGTATTCAATGCTTGATAAATATTTTTTGCAGTTCTGCTGTTACTGACAAATTCATAAAATTATTTTGGTGTCTTGTCAGTTTCACCTGAAAGCTTCATGCACCCATGGTCCATAATTTTTCCACTACTGTTTGGATGTTATACGTCATTGCTTTTTATGACCTTGAAAGAGAACTAGTAATTATTAGGACTGAAGTATCAGATGTAATTAGTTAGCCATTATGTAACATGAAAGATAGTGTGATGGGCATTTTCATAATACACACTACACCCTGTTGAAAAATTCCCGTACTAGGTCAAGAATGAAATGCTGCCTTAACTTACTCAATTTTGCCTGCCATCTACTTCAAAATAGTCTCCTTGGGGACGTTTACAGTGACTGTGGACGTCATTTTCCATAATGCTGTAGAGTATTGCTTGCAATTCCCTTTGATGCCAGACACTGTTTCAAAACATTCCTTCAGTTTCATTTTCAATTTGGGAAACAAAGTGAACTCACACAAGGGGCTAAGTCTGGCGAGTAAGGGGAATGGGGAATGATACCCATGTTGTTAGTCACAAAGTTTATGGTTTTCAGGGATGTGTGGGGAGGCGCGTTGTGATGGAGGAGCCAGTTGTGGTTGTGCCAAAGTTCCAGTCTTTTTCATTGCACACTTTTCTCTCAAGCCTCTCAGAATGTCACAGTAAACGTCAGAGTTGACCATAGTGTTAGGAAGAACAAATTCATGACAAACAATCCCCTTCATGTTGAAAATGAGCATGCTCTTTGTTGAACTCCGGAGCTGCCATGCCTTTTTGTTCTTCATGATTGTGGGCTTTTCCAGTGCGATACCTGTTGCTTTTTTTTTGGATCATAACCGTAAATTCAACTTCTGTCACCTGTTATATCCTAGAGATATTGTTAGCCTTCTCATGTAGCTCAAGACACATGTGTATGCTCCAGTGCTTTTGATCATTTGTCAAGAGTAATGGAACAAACTTCGTGGCAGGGCGGCACATGTTCTAATTTTCTGTAAAGATCTCCTGGCAAATTCCATAACTGTTCCCAGCAGTGTCTCCTAGCTCATGGATTGTTCAGCAGTTTTCATGGATGAGTTCTCGAATTTTTTCAACATTTTCTGTCATTTTGCTTGTGCTTGGTTACTCTGAACGTTTGTAATCTTCAGCTGACACTCATCTTGAAACGTGAATGTCATTCAAAAATCGCTGTCTGGCTTAGAGAATGTTCTCCAAAAGCTCACGAAGCATTTCAAGGGTATCAATAGCCAATTTACTGAGCTTCACGCAAAACATGTTGCAGACAAGTTGCCTAATATTGCCATCCATCGCAGACAAAACGAAACAAGAAGTCAAAAAAGCACTCACGTAAAAACGACACATGTTCAGAACACGATTTCATGTGGCAGACTGATGCAATAGGCTTGCGGTAATGTGACCTTTGGCTCCCTCTCATCTTCTTTCACCGAGGCATTTACAACAATAACAGTCCTGGAATCCACTTTTGACGTTAATATGAAATTGGAAATATGCTGTTGAAATTGTATGGACTTACAATTCCACAGCAAGCAATTCTGAACTCTTGTGGAACCATTAAGCTATTTTAGTATAAATGTTGTGTTTGATCAACAGGATAGCTCTGCTGGTACTGGAGGCCTGGTTGCAGCATATGGTGGTGGCAGTGAGAGCGACGAGGACATTGAGGATGTCATCCAGGAGGACAGACAACACACAAATTGGGCAAAACTGGCATGTCTGCTGTGTAAACGTCAGTTCCCCACCAAGGAATCTCTCATTAGGTAAAAGAATGTTAATTAGAGGAGATGTAAAAACACGCTGTATTCAAGTCACTTATTACTTTTTATACAAAAATTTAGAGTGCAAAATTTGGCTAAGAAATGGAACACTTAAGACATCATAAAATTTTGCCACAATTAAGTTGATTGCTTTGATGGATTTCCTGTGTCATACTATGAGCTATTAACTGCAGTAATAAATGACCAAAGGGTTTGGAATTCATCATCTTATCTATTTCATGTCAAGATGATTGGTCATATTGTTACATGCCAAGTACATTGGTCGGGATATTCGTATCCAGTCCCCTGTTCTTACTTCTGATCTATACAGTGCAACCTCATTATGATGATAGTTTATGAAGTATCTAAAAGTGCTTGTTATGAAAGATACTTGTAATCTGTATAAATAAAAATGTAAATGTTCGTTTGTTCAGGATCTTAAATCTCTGAAAGTTCTTCACCAATTGCTTCGAAATTTTGACACAACGTTGCATTCGAATGCGCACGTGTTTTTATATACCTATCATATAGATGTCACACCTGTGACAGGTAAAAACATGGTTCTTTTGAAAAACAGAATTGGAATTTGGAATTCAGAAGAGTCATCCCTATGAAAACGCTAGAACAGACCGTTGCATAGGAGGTAACAATAGCGGTACTGTATCGAATCTCCACAGTTATGACGAATACACGGAGCATTCACACAGAGACAACGCAATAACAATGGGTCGTTGCGTAGGAATCATGGAATCAACAAAGCAGCGTTTCCGCCGTTATGACAAAAGCTCATTTGCATAGCAGCGGCCGAGGGTATAAAAGGGGGTTGAATTCATTCTCCCAGTCAGTCTTGGAATAGCTGCCGCTGAAGAAGGTTGGAACCTAGGTGCCAAGAGATACAGAAGTATTGGCCGAGAGATTGTGTAACCAGTAACTCTAATACTGCAAGTGGCAATAATTGTAAAGTGTGCAAGTGAATTACAATAAAGATTTGCTATAATTAATACGGCGTAAAGTTATTTGTAGCGTGACATAACCAAACACGCTACATGCATTACTGGCGCGTGCAACACGTCACATCCACATCAAATTCGTGCATTGTTTGCAGTCATATTGACCGCCTGCTCTCCTTCATCTCCAACAGTTATGAGAGAAATATAAATCACACATGGCTGAAGATATTTTCCGTTGAATACGCAAGGATAATTCCAATATGATCATGGATTTCACAGCAGAAATCTGCAACAAAGCGTTGATAATGATTGAAGATTTGTGCTTAGAAATCGTGAACAACGTTCTCGATCAGTTGGGAATGCCATTACCAAATTGATCTGCTGCTGCTTCGTTCAATGTAGAATTGCGTTGTGAACAAAATTACAACACGGGTGATCTTTTGTTGTATGTGCAATCAAATATTCCTAAGCTAACGCTTCAGCAAAAAGGCATTTACAATCAAATAATGCAAACTGTCAATAACGGGGTTGCAGAATTCTTCTTCTTAGATGCGCCAGGAGGAACTGGTAAAACGTTCCTAATTAGATTGATTCTGGCAGCAATTTGATCACAAAATGACATAGCTTTAGCTCTTGCGGCGTCTGGAATAGCTGCGACATTGCTACCAGGTGGAAGAACTGCTCATTCCACTTTGAAATTGCCATTGAACATGCAATTCATTGAAACTCCCACTTGCAGCATTTCCAAAGGATCGGGCATGGGAAGGGTATTGCAGAAATGCAAACTTATTGTTTGGGATGAATACACAATGGCACACAAAAAATCGCTCGAGGCTCTTCATCGATCATTGCAAGATTTGCGTGGAAACATCAGACCATTTGGGAACGCATTAATATTGCTTGCAGGAGATTTCAGGCAAACATTACCTGTAATTCCTCGATCGACACCAGCGGACGAAATAAACACTTGCCTGAAATACTCTACTTTGTGGCGACACATAAAGAGATATTGAGATATTGCTGAGATATTCTCACATCAATTGCTGGAAATTGGGAACGGAAAGGTGCCGGTTGATCTGACCTCAGGATGAATTTCGTTGCCTCATAACTTCTGCAATTTTGTGACGTCAAAAGAAGAATTCGTTGAAAAAGTATTTCCCAGTATTCAAACCAATTATAAGAATCACGATTGGCTGAGTGAACGAGCTATTCTTGCCGCCAAGAAGAAAGACATCTACGAACTTAACAATATCATTCAGTCTGACATTCACTGTGAGGCAGTCACATACAAGAAGTTCTTCACTTCTTTCCTCTTCCTTTCACAAACAGACATCTCGGTGTAGGTTTCGATGTAACATATCAACTACTGATCAGATCTTGTCCATTCATCAGACACTGGAGAAGAAATGGGAGTACAGTGAGGCAGTACATCAGCTATTAATAGATTTCAAGAAAGCCTGTGATTTAGTTAGGATGGAAGTATTGTACAATATTCTGATAAAATTTGGGGTACCCATGAAACTAGAAGCATTTATCTGATAATTTCCTTATCCAGAATGGTCTAAAACAAGGAGATGCTTTATCGCCACTGTTTTTAACTTTGCTTTAGAATATGCCATTAGGAAGGTCCAGGAAAACCAGGTGGGACTGAAACTAAATGGGACACATCAGCTGTTAGTCTATGCTGGTGATGTGAATCTGCTGGGTGATAATGTAGATACCATAAAGAAAAACACACAAACTTTAATTGATGCTAGTAAGGAGGTTGGTCTGGAAGTAAACACAAAGAAGACTAAGTATATATTTCTGTCTTGTCACCAAAATGCAGGGCAAAATCTTGACATAAAGATAGGTGAGAGATGTTTTGAAAATGTGGAACAGTTTAGATATTTTGGAATGACGATAACAGACCAAAACCTGATTCATCAGGAAATTAAGAGGAGACTGAACTCGGGTAGTGCTTGCTACCATTCAGTTAACAACCTTCTGTCTTCTTGTCTGGTGTCCAAGAACATAAAAATTAGAACACACAATACTATAATTTTGCCTGTGGTTCTGTATGGGTGTGAAACTTGGTCTCTGACATTAAGGGAGGAAAATAGACAGGGTGTTTGGGAACAAGGTGTTGAGGAGAATATTTTTACCGAAGAGGGATGAAGTAACAGGAGGTTGGAGAAAACTGCATAATGATGAGCTTCATAACTTGTACTTTTCTCCAAGTATAATTAGAATGATGAAGTCAATGAGGATGAGGTGGGCAGGGCATGTAGCCTGAATGGGGGAGAAGATGAATGCATAGAGGATATTGGTGGGAAAGGCAGATGGAATGAGACCACTGGGAAGACCAAGGCATAGTTGGGTGAACAGTATTGTGACGTGGATGGCCCATCAGGAAGTAGGGGTCACGTGAACTCTGCGTTCTCACGAGTGACGTCACATACCCCCACTTGGTGAACTCCCCTCCCCCATGTTGACACAATGTGGATCATGAAGTCGCTGAGAGCAGTGGAAGTTTAGCAGTCGCCAAGTTGGGTTGTATTGAGTGCATGACTGGGACTACAGCAGGAGAAGTAATTGTGATACTGCAGATGGCAGTAATTGTGAAACTGTGAATTGTGTAAATGTGAGAGTGAATGTGAAATAAATTCGCTACATCCAAGATGGCGTGAAGTTATTTGTCGCATGTCACATACCCTACATGTGACAATTTGGTGTCAGAAGTGGGATGTAGCGGTTGGAGAACGGACAATGGGAAGAAAAAGGAACGGATATGTAACTTTAGGCTTTTCGGGATGAACAACCTTTAGAAGGGAGAAGTGTGAGGTGGATGGCGCAAAAGGAAATAGGGCTCACGTGAACTCTGCGTTCTCGCAAGTTACGTCACATACCCTCACTCCTTCCATCATTACGCAACGCCCAGTAAACACCCCCTCCCCCGCGTTACGTAACAGCAGAGCAACTGTGTCAGGCAATCATTGCTGCAGTGATGTAACAACATAGGAGCCGCAGCCACTGCTATGGTAACAGGCCAGTAAACAGTCCCCCCCCCCCGTTGTGACGTAACAGCACTTCCCACTGTGATGTAACGGGACACTGCTGTTAACACGTGGCAACAGGGAACGGTATAAAATGGCCGGCTGTGCAGTGTGTGAGCCAGATTGTGTGATCAGGATTGACACAGTGTGGATCGTGAAGTCGCTGAGTCAAATACCCGACACGTGACAGTATTAAAATGGAGCTTGGAGAGATGGGATGGGATAGTATAGATTGGATTGATCTTGCTGAAGATAGGGGCTAGTGGAAGGCTCTTGTGAACACAGTAATGAGCCTTTCGGTTCCATAAAATGCTGGGAAGCTCTTGAGTAGATGCACAATTTGCACCTTTTCGAAGAAGTGAGTGAGTGAATGATGGATCTTAGAATGTAATATTTCACCTCCTGTGTGATTAAGTTCTGTGGAAATGTGATCACTACCTGGCGATTTATACTTTTTTAAATTTTGCAGTACCAATTTCAACCTCAGCAGGCATAGGATCAGGTACTAATGGCTCAGCTGTATGCATTTCTATCTGCCTAACATCACTGGCCTATGTACATTCAATAATTGAGAGAAGTAATTCTTCCACCTGTTCAAAATATTATTGGAATCTGCAAGCAGATCACCATTCTCATCCTTCATTAAGTTGAGTACTGAGTATAGAGGGGGTGGGTTTCCCCATGCACTTAGACCAGTTGTTGGTCCATTGTGCGTCCCCCTTTTAATTTCTACTGTCTCCATACCCTACCAGTACGGGTGCTCGCTATTAGCCCCTTTCTGCCAGCGAGGTTCCAACCTTCTACTGGCAGTGGTATCTAATAGTTAGTCCCTTTCTGTCATAGAGGTCCCCCTTCCTCTGGCAGTGGTACCTAATACTTACCCATCTACCGGAGGCATTGGAAACTACCTTGGGCGGGAAGCTTTTTGCCAAATTTAGCTCAGAGGTCTCCTAGAGACATGAGGTTCTTTTACGTGCCATAAATCTACGACACGGGACCCATGGCTTAAAGTCCCTCC